GGGGTCTCCAACGCTGCCAAACCAAACAAAATGCAAGAAAATATCAGGCCAAGATGAAGCGCTTTCCAGAAAGGAACACAAAACTATCCTCTAGGGTTCCTAGAGATGGAAGGGAAGAGCCTCTGAGGAGGTGATGGGTACCGCAAGACCCAAATGTCAAGCAGTGGGCTATGTGCAAACCGGGATGAAAAATCAAAGTAGAAGAAAGTCTTTAATGGCTGAAAATGGGAGTGAGCTGGTAGAGCGGTTGCTGAGCATACACGAATGGATGTCCATTCTCAGCACCAAGAAGCCAGGCTCTTGGGAGGTGGAGGCAGGGGGATCAGAAACTCAAGGGTGGAGACTTGGTTTGGTGGTTAAGAGCACTGACTGCTCCTCCAGAGCCAGTTCAACTCCCAGCACCCATATGGCAGCTCACAACTTTCTGTAACTTCAAGGTCTGACACCCTCACACAGACATACATGCGGGCAAAACACCAATGCACATCATGATAATGGTAATAAAAAGAAGTTCAAGGTTACCGTTGGCTTCGTAGAATTCCAGGTCACCCTGGTCTACATCTGGTTTTTGTTTTTGTTTTTGTTTTTTTCTGAGACAGGGTTTCTCTGAGTAGCCTTGGCTGTCCTGGACTCGCTTTGTAGACCAGGCTGGCCTCGAACTCACAGAGATACACCTGCCTGTGCCTCCCTGAATGCTGGGATTATGGATGTGCACCACTGTGCCCAGCTGGGCTACCTCTTAAAGGAAAAGGGAGAAGAGGAAGAGAAAGAGGAGAAGCAGAAAGAGGGGGAGGATAAGGAGGAGGAAAAGGAAGAGAAGGGGAGGAAGAAGAGGAAGAGGAGGAGGAGAACTTCCATCAGCTACCTTTGGCTCTGGGGTGATCAAGGGATAGCCAGGGAGAACAAGGTGGGCAAGCAGGGCCAGGCCCCAGAGGGTTTCTGAGTCAGGTGGGAAGCCTGGCTTCAATTTCAATTGAGGCCTGATCTGATGGAAGGATCTGAGGATCTGAGTATGCTGTGGGAGGCAAGGCTGCACAGCTGTCTCTGTCCAAATCCCCAAAGCCTGCAAGCATGCTCCTTCACGTGGCAAGGATCTCACAGCTGCTGTTAAGGATCTTGCTGATGAGAAGTTTGTCTTAGATCATTCAGGTGGGCCCCATGTCATCGCATGGGTTCTTATAAAATCAAGGCTCGACAGTCCAAGTCAGAGCTGTGATGACAGGAGTAAGGGCAGAAGTGATGCAAGGAAGGGACCACAAGCCAAGGAATGGAGGCAGCCTCTAGTGAGCACCAAGCGGCCGGAAAACAGATCTGCCCAGGTTGGGTGAGGTGGCATGTGCCAGGACTCTGGAGACTGAGACAGGAGGGTTTCAAGTAGGATGGAAAAAAAAAATCACTGGTTTGGATGGTAGACGGACAGTAGCTTGGTGGTAGAACCCTTCCCTAATGGTGTCAGCCCCTGAGCCTCTGACCTGTCTCTGTTGTTTCGAGGAGCCCTGAGTGTTGAGAGGCTGGAGAGGAGAAGCCTGTAGTCAGCCCTTCAGCCCTCAGCACAGTGGGTATGCTCAGGCTGGCTGGGGGGTGGGGGCTGCAGACTGCTGAGAGGCCGAGGTAAGTCAGCAACCATAGTGGGGAGAATCAGGCAGGTGTAAAGGAGCGATTCTGTCATCACAGCACTTGGGAAGCTGTGGCATGGCATGGCAGAAGGATAGCCATGAGTTCAAGGCCAGCCTGAGATAAAAAGTGAATCTCTGCCTCAAAAAGAAACCAAAAGAGGGCCTGGAAGATAGTCCCGTGGGTAATGTGGCTGCTCCATAAGTATGATGACCTCAGGTTGGTTCACCATCATCCATTAAAAAGCTGGGTGGTGGGACAGCAGGTGCCTGTAACCCCAGCTCTGGGAAAGCAGAGACAGCAGGTCCAGTGTAGCCAACTGCTGGGTTCTAAGTTCCTTGAGAGGCCAACTTCCAAAAACTAAGGTAGAGAGCAATCAATCAAGGACAGCGTGAAGAACTAGGAATAGAGGAGGAGACTGGGGGCCTTAGTCTGTGAGTTCAGGGAAGGAACCATTTGAGTGAGGCCAAGAGGGGTGGCCATAGCCACAAGGAGGGAGGCAGAAGTGGAGAGGTCAGGTATTTCCACATTGTCTAGAACATCCCAGAAGAGCCAGAGGGTAGACAGCTGAGGGTGGGTCATGAAGAAGATATTTGAGCCTGACACAAAAAGGCCTTTCAAACAGGTATCCCTATGATCCCTGAGCCTGGCAGGGGATGCAAGACAGTGCAGGAATATCACCAAAGAGAGGGAAGAGGGAAAGAGAACTGAGATCCACCCAGGGGCAGGACGGTGAATAGGTTCTCCGGCTTCTTCGGGCAAAGGTGCAGACTCTGAGGAGAGGTGTGTATGGAGGCATGGGACCTCTAGGGGAAGCTGAAGGAGAGAGAAAAGGGAAGACAGGGTTGCTGAGCTTCTCCACCATTCATACAAGAACTCTTCTTGACAGGAGAGATGAGAAACCTCTCTATCCCTAAGCTGTCTTGAGCAGGTGCAGTCCCTGCTAGGAAGAAAGTGACATTTTGAAGCAGGGGGACATTTGCTAACGTGCAAAGTTCCACGGACTTGGTTTTCTGATAAAATGATGACTTGGGTTTGGAGACGGAGCCATACAACCCGAGCACCACCTGACTAAGCTTGCAGAACCACAGAGACATGGACCATCCTGGCTGCCATGACAACTTGGGCCATCCATAGCCACCAAGCCCCTCTGGGGGGCTGGGATCTGAGGGATGAGTGACAAGCAGGTCCTGTCTCTTTGGAGCTCGGGCACAGCCAAGGGCAGGCCAGGATGAGCGATGTTCCTCAGATGTGGCTGACATTTTGAAGCTGCGAAGTGTAAGGGAAGAAGACGCTTCTAGAAGAATCCACAGGTGCCAACGTTGATGCAGCACAACCTTATTGGGAAACTCTGATTCTTTTGCAGGCCAGTGGCTTTATAGGTCGTGCATCTCTGAGCAGTTCACCTGACAGCTCTGAGGCTCTGCGTTCTATGTGGATAAGCAAGGGGCAGAAGGAGACATCGAGATGGCGCAGCATCTCGCTGCCAAGCCTGACCACCTGAGTTCTATTCTCAGGACCTGCATGAAGTCTGACCACCATAGGCCTGTGTGCACCACTCCACACACTAAATAAAGAAGTGTAAAAGAAAGGGGCAGAGGGAGGAAAAGGGAAAGAGAAAGTCCGTGGCGGGGAAATCAGACCATAGACTGAACGTCTGCAAATCAGTCTGTGAAATATATTAAACGCACAGAAAAAGCTGTTCCCTATGCTTCCAATGATCACATGCTCTAACCCCCTATCTCCTCCCACCCAGGGGCCTTCCTCCCTTTCTCATCCCTTCCTGAGCCACACGGCCAGGCAGCTCAACTCCTAGAGACTTCCTCAGGCGAGAAACCTGAGCTCATGCCCAGCACAGAGTTTAGCCTTCTAGAGCTACATGTTTCTCTCTCTCTCTCTCTCTCTCTCTCTCTCTCTCTCTCTCTCTCTCTCCCTCTCTTTGCAACATAATAAAACCAAACAAAAGCCCAACGCCTGGCGTGGCTGGTCAGGGAGTTATGCAAGTGTGTAAAAAAATAAAATAAAATAAACATTGCGTTTTCGGCATTTGGGGCTGTTTGATTAGGTGCAGAGCGTGGCCAAGGGCTGATCGGACACAGGAGGCTGGGGCAGCCGAACGGGGAGGGCCTCTGGAGGGGGCTGGAGGGCCCTGGACCAGCTTCCAGGGACTTGGGGAGGTTTCTGAGCTTGAGCCCAGACACTGGTCATTGGAAAGCCAGTACCTCCACTTCTTCCGGCCAGCCACCTTGCTGCTGCCCCCTGGCCATCGGGAACAGCCCAGGGGCCCTTCCATCCTTGCCATCAGCACTACCCCTGGCCACCACCAGCGACCTCCCTCCTCCACGAAGAAGATTCCACAGCTTGTCTTCATGACTCACCCCCACCCCTTAGCCAGCCCATCCTCTCCGCTGGAACTGAACACTGCAAGCGCAGTTTGAGTTTCTCTCCATCCAGTCCGAAGCGAGGGCGAAGCACAGCTGTTTGCCGCCCTCAGGCGTGTGGCTCCCTCCTCCCCTCCCAGTTTGCCCTCAACCTTCTCTAGGTCATCGCAGGTGCCTGCAACCCTCCCTTTTCTACTTTGTCATCTCACAAACATTCTCCGTGCTCCTGCCGGGGATTTGGGTATCGGAATCCTTTATTTCACGCGATCCTCAAAACAGATGAGAACCGGGAGGCTCAGAGAAGTTAAGTGATTTAGTCCCGGCCACACAGGCGATGGATGGGGGAGTATGGGCTGGACCGGAGACTGCATTGTGGGATGGCCCACACCGATTCCAGTGCGGCAAGCCGATAGGAAACGTCCTTACCCCTACCCCACCCCCGGGGGTCTTCTGAACAGGTCAGATGCTCTGAAGGTTTGACCCTGAAGGGAAGAAGGGTGTGGCCGGCCACCAAGCCTTGCAGTTCTATACCTGCCCCCTTTCCAAGATTCTGATGGGGGACTCGGGCCTGGGCAAGCGTCCTGGGACCCTGCTCCTAACACGAGAGAGCGGGTGCGGGAAGGGGGAGGCGACCTGAGCTCGCAGCCTTCGTTCGTTCGTTCGTTCGTTCGTTCGCCAAGGTGCAGACGGCGCGTGCCTAGCCCGGGTGTGCGGGAGGGGGCTACGGAGTCCCGGGCCCGGAGCTCCAGTCCGTTTTTTCTTGCGGATCGGGCAGGGGGGCCGGCCAGGGGTGGTGCCGGGGGATTCCCTCCCTCGTGCGAGCCGGGGACCGGCCCCTCTCCGGGCGCGGGGCGCAGAGCCCGGGCGGCGGACTGCGGGGCCCGCGCGGGCCGCCCCAGCACCGATGCGCCGGGCGGGGCGCTGGCGGCCGAGAGGGCATTGAGCAACTGGGCGGCGGGCGGAGCGCAGGGCCGACGGCAGCGCGGGACCCAGTGACCGCGCCCTCGCCCCTCCGGGCTGCCCCGCCACGGCCGCTGCGCCAGGTGAGTCCCGCGGCCCGCGCCGTCCGCCCCGAGGTCCCGGGTCCCTGTCGGGGAGGCAGCGCAGAGTCTGATCCCCATCCCGTCGTCCCGCCGCCGCACATCAGCCCGGGGCCCCAGTGTCCAGCCGCAACCTTCTCGCCCCAGTCATGCCCCCACGCAACCCAGCTGTGACCCAACCCTCACCCACGGGACCCAACCCTGACCCACGAGTGCCCAGCCCCAACCCACTCGCCCCAGCCATGCCCACGCACCCCAGCTGCTACCCAGCCCCAGCTGGGGTCCCCAGTCCCGACCTACGCCACCCAGCCACGACCCACGCACCCTAGCTGCGACGCAGCTGGGACCCAGTCCGGTTCGCGTTAACCGGCTCCCTTCCTCCAGCCCGACGTGGTGGAAGGCCGGTGGGCTTGCACCGTGGCCTGTCGGAGAGAGGTGTGCTGTGGCCACCCAGGGACGTCAGGGGGGACCGGGCTCAGGAGACCGGACCCTGCGGTCCTTGCAGGATCGTGGGGGCTGCGGGGGACAAGGCGGAGAGGGGGACAGCTCCCCAGACACCTGTTAGAGAGAGAGAGACAGAGAGACAGAGAGACAGAGACAGGCAGAGACAGAGGAGGGAGAATGAATGGACAATGAGCGCTGCAGACACGCGGAGCCTTTTGCACGGAGCCTTTTTCCGCGCTCTGGGTTTGGGGGCCACGGAGTGGGAGCCGTCCCCGCGCTTGGCACGGCTTTGAGATGCCCACAGGCCCCACACTCAGGCACTCAGTCCCGCCCCCACTCCCAAATACTCCGGCTTCTTCCTGGCAGCCGGGTTCCTCGGCCGGTGGCCGGATCCTAGGGCTGGGAGCGTTGGCTAATGAGAAGCCATCGACATGGTTTACATTTTTTGGGTCTGTATCCGACATCTGACGGAATACCGATTTATCCTCACAGTGTTGTTGCAGGCAAGGAGGCGAAAGTTATTCCGGCCTAACCGGCCCTCAGCTCTACCCGCTGAACCCCCTTCCCCAGAGTTGACCCTCCCTGCAGGTCCTTCCCCTCCCTGACCCATGTGACCTCAGTTTGTGGTCTCAGGCCAGTCCAGCCTCTGGCCCCCAGACCTTCGCTGGCTCATCCCTAGATGGCCCAGACTCCTTAGCCCTCTGCAAAGGCCAGTTTCCAGGACACCCAGTACCCAGCAGCAAATTAGTTTCAAAATCTCCTGTCCCTAACTCCACAGGGCCATTTCTCCCTGGAAATCCAACCTCTCTCCTCCATTTGTGGTGGAGGAAATGATGATCTAGCCCCTGACAGGTGGGAGGAGATGGACAGTAAATAGTATTCTGCCCCAGCCAGCAAGGTTGTTCCCACTCACACCAATGCCTGTGGCCTTGAGTAACCAGGTGGGACCCAGAGTAGCTGGAGGGAAAGGGAACCTCAGAGGCAGCAATCTGCCTTGCCTCCTCACCCCCCACCCCCGGCTTGGTACCACAGTCTCTGATCTAAGACCTGTCCTGTGTTTAATAGCCACTCCCAGCAAAATGTCAGCCTGGCAATACTGGGCCATTGTTTGCAGTCTGAGATCAGCTCAGCTGCAGCCTATGCACCTTCACACAGGGATGGGTGCCCTGCTCCTTTACCCACACTGCTTTGCTCCTGTCTGTTGCTTGTACTCCCTGGTATGGATGAGCTATTAGCTCGTTTGCCTGGTTCGAGATAAAGATACACAGTGCCCCAAAGTATTTGAAATTCTTTACGCTCCAGGGGGAAAGCCAGCGCCCCCTATGCCAATGAACCTCACATCTGCCCCCCTCCCTCCCCTCACACACATGCCAAGCAAAGACCGGGTTTCTGGAGATCCTGGTGGGGGCTGGGAAGAAGTTCTCACAGGCAGGGACATGGTGAATGTGTCAAGGTCAGGCCAGAGGGGAAGGATGGAGAAGGAGTGAGGAGTTAAGACAGGCCAGGAAGGAGTTGCCATCGGCTGGGCTGTTGAGCCTTGAGGTAAGTACCAAAGGTACAGAGGCAGCCAGGAGAGCTTTCCTGACTGGCGGACCCCACACAAGGAAGCCGAAGTCTTGACACCAGACTTGTTTGGGCCAGTGTTTGCAGGCCCAAGAGCTGGGGGTCACAGCTGCCCTGTCTTAACACCCTATCTGACACAGGCTCCCCTGAGCGGTGGCAGCTTCAGGGCCAGGGCCACCACGGATGCAGATGTGGTAGTCAGTCGCATGCCAGTGCTCTGCTGCCTTCAGCATGCTGCCCGGGTAATCCGGGGGATGTCGGATTCCTTTACTCGGGGCCACAGGGACACAGACACACAATGAAACCTCATTCACAAAGACTAGAGCCACATTAACCGAAACCCCACCATTGCCCATCCTGTTCTGAGCACATCATGGAGGCATGCACCAGATCTATACCTAAACCAGACTCTCGCAGGTTGGTAAATAGGCTCAGAGGTTCTAGGCCAGTAATCCAGTGTCGCACAGCTAACTCCCCAACGGGGCTGGCCTTGCAAGCCAGGCGGACTCTGAAGTGTGTCTCCAGTGCCGCCAGGGTCCATAGCCAGCCCCTGAGACTGTGCTGGAGCGGAGGACTCCAGTTTGGTAAACTTGGTTGGATATCAGTGCTGTCCCGGCTGGGGTGTGACATAGGGGCTGGAAAGCTTTGGCATGAGTCCGGAGGGCGGCGCTCAGGCAGTGGCAGCTGACCTGGCACGGGGGGTAAGGGGGCATCTCTGCTGGCTCCAGCTCCAGCACCAGGTGGGATCTATCAGGCTCATGTAAACACTTCTCACAGGCAGTTTAACCACTTGAGTGTGTCTGGCCTTCAAAGCCAGGGGGAGAGGCTGAGGAGGGAGGAGGGAGGTACCGAACTCCCTCAGGGGGTAATGATTTATCTCCAGTGCAGGTGGGCTCTGCTGGGGCCTCTCTGGGAGGCGGGGCTGGGGGGCTGGGGGGGTGGACTGGGCACAGAGGAGCAGAAGGAGAAAGGAAAGGGGGCCAGAGGCTCTACGCTAGTGTCTCAAATTTCTCATTAGTAAGCCAAAACAGTTTAGAACCAATCCCCATTTCATAGATGAAGAGCCTGAGGTTCAAGGAGGCAAAGCGACTGGGCCAAAGACAGCTAGCCTGGTGGATGGAGCCTCCTGGGAGACTGGGTCAAATGCCCACCCAGGGAGCCCAAGTGGTTATGCCTTTGCACTTTCTAGGCGGTGCGTGAGTGAGCTTCTCTTGTGGGTGTGTAACCCCGTGAGTGGGTCTGAGGCTCTTCCGCGACGTTGCTCCTCCTTAACCCTGATGCCCAGCTTCTCAGATACACTGCATGGACGGGTGCCCCTGCCCCCATCACCCTGGCCACTGGGTCCAGAGCCCTGGCTCTCTCCGGGGCTGGGGGGATTATCCCCATTCTCTGTGTCTCTGGCCAGGGCGGGCATTGCTGCTGTTTTTATCCCCTCACAAAAGCCAGGCCCGCCGGGCCTGCTGTGTCAGAGTTTCTGTGGCTGGCGGGGTGGGGGGGTGTGCCCTCACTTCCTTTTCTCCCTCCAATCCCAGAGGGCCGAGCAGAGTCTGCCTGCTTGCCAGAGGCTCTAACTTCTAACTTCTGGGACAGGTGAAAGGCACATGGGTGACTCAGCACTGGGCAGAGAAAGCTGAGGACTCCTAGGAGGACAGAGAGCCCCTTTTTAGATATCAGGATATTCTAGCAGCACGAGGTCTGGAGGGTAGACTTAAAGATGGACTTCCACTTAGAACTAGCCAGTTTTAGTCAGGACTATGGGGCCAGCTGGTTCCTGTTACTGTAAGATCACCAGGAATGCACAGGTTTGATTTGGGTATCTGTTGTATTCCAGTTAGGTAGTTGGCCCCAGGGTTAGGATACAGGATGCTTGGAGACAGAAGAAGAGTTCTTCTTCAGGGGTGCCTGGTAGGGAACATGCAGCGTCCAGACCTCCTGGGTTCTACAAAGTCCAGGGCAGGGAAACCCAGGGGAAGGAAGAAAATGTAATTTAGGGGCTCCAAGGCACCTTGGACTTAACCCTTCTTTCTCCTTACCCACAGGTCTATCTTGGGGTTGAGAAGACCTCTGATGTGAGCCTCTGTGGTGGCCTCCAGCAGGACAGGACCTCCCTTTGGGCAGATGGAGAACCTGTCTCCATACCCCCTCAGATCCCAGCTGACATTATGGTGGATTTGGGCTGCAGCCCGGGCCTGGGCCTCCTGCCACTGACTCAGCCTCAGAGCCTTTAGCAAGAGACCACCCCTCCTGCCAGGGGCCCAGGGCTGGCCAGTGACTATGCGGCTTGGGCTGTGTGTGGTGGCCCTGGTTCTGAGCTGGACACACCTCGCTATGGGCAGCCGGGGGATCAAGGGCAAGAGGCAGAGGCGGAGTGAGTACCTTCTGGCTGAGCCACTGAGGGCCTTGGTGTGGGCGGGACTGGGGGAACCTATGGTGGCTTTCTTCTGTGATGGCTGTTTGGCTTGTCCGGGCTTTGTGAGGACCATGGATTATCCGGTGGGCCGTTTCATTTGTTGAGATGTACTGGTCTGTAACCCTCTCACTATTGACCTTCCTTCCTCTTTTAGACTGCTTTCTGGCTCAACGCCTCTCTAGGAGGCCCTTTGACCCAATACCGATTTTGTAGGGTCTCCATGGTGATGCTTCCAAGAGTGAAGAGAGACCGTACCCTGCATGCCCCACTCCCCCATCCCTGGCTCAGGAATTCGGGGCACCTCTGTGAACGGCAAACGTTTGGACAGCAGCTCTGCACATCTGGGCAGTAGGCACCCTGCTTTCCTTGCTAGATGACAGACAGGAACAGCACGGTAGAGAAGGATAGGTGTCTTTCCGATAACCAGGCTCTGTGGGATTCCCAGAGCTGAACCCAGCACGCCTTTCAGGGGGCCGCTTTAGGGCTCCCTGAGTTGGCAGTGACCTTACCTTGTAAGGCACTCCTGCAAGAGTTCTGAGCCTAAGAAAAGCCTGTCGTCCCAGCGGGAGGCGGCCACAGGACTGCCACTGACTACAGTGAGAGACTGTTTTAAAACTCACAACTAGAAAAGAAAGAACAGGAAGGAGAGATGTCTCAGGGGTTAAGGGTGGGTAGCACTCTTGCAGGGGGCCCTGGGGTTCAGGGTCCCAGCACCCATGATGGGTAGCTCATAAGCACCTGTAACTCCAGCCCCAAGGGATGTGACGCCTCTGAGTTTTACCTGCACTCATGTGCACATACCTATGCCCATGATTCAAAATGCATGCGCTTAATTAAAACTAAATATTCTGCAAAAGAAAGGAAAGAACGGCAAATCCGATTTTCTTTTCTTTCCTCCTCCCCTTTCCTTCATTTGAGACACGATCTTGCTATGTAGCCTTGGTTGGCCCAAAACTCTCTGTGTGGGCCTCCAATTTGCATCCATCCTCCTGCCTCAGTCTCCCTAATGCTAGGTTTGCAGTTCTTCACTGTGGAGCCCAATGAGCGCCTGGGGTCCTTTAAAATAGTTCTCTGAAGTTCAAAGTTAACTTGTCAGCTCCGTGGCCTGACCCAGGCATCCCTCACCCTCTGCGCCACAGCTTCGGTGACAGGGGCATCATGTGCTGGGAGTGGCCAGCCTACGCCAGTGATCCTGCCAGAGAGCTGGGTGGGGGCCTCTTGCTCCCAAGGCCTCGTCCCTCTTTCGACATCCCCCATCGAGGGCTGCCATGAAGTCAGGAAGTCTTTCCGAAGTCTCGCCCAACAATTCCCTCTTGCTTCACTTTTCTCCTGGGACTAATGCCTGCAGGCCAGAGAAGGCTGAGGGCCAAGGCTGTCCACAGAAGGACTCAGCTGGGGGGAGGGAGGCTCAGGGAATTGTTGGAGGGGGGGGAGAACCCCCAGCTTAACAAACAATTAGGGATGGTGAGGTTCCCGGAGGCAGCAGCAGCAGCAGCAGCAGCAAAGCCTTCATACCCCTCCCCACGCCTCTGTTGTGGCCAGTGTTTTGGACTCCATAGGCCAGAGTTGGTTTAGTGGTTTAGAATCAGTAGCCCTTTTTCCCCCCGAAGTCGGAAGAGAGACAGCCAGACAGTGAGACAGAGAGAAGGTCCAGCCTCAGTCATGTGACAGGCACAGCGATCCTGCTCACCCACAGAGGGTCACATGCCCGCTGATACAGGTGGCCATCAGACCCAGGTTCAAGTCAGGGGAACTGACACACAAGCACTGAAGTGGGATTTGGCAGAGTCAGCCTCTCGCCGTGGCTGTCAAACAGAGCAATTTCGATCTGCTTGATTTTGACCCAGCCACGGCTGGTACCTCGGCAGCATGTGCACAGCTTGTATTGCTGACTGATGTCAGGGGCAGGGAAGGGGAGGACTCAGCTCTGAGGTCATCAGGCATGAGGGTGTGTGCTTTCAGTTGGGACTTGGTCATCTTGAAACACCCCCTGTGAGGCTGTGATGTTCCTGATGACAGTCTGGGGGATAGAGACACAGGTGCACTGCTTGCTGGCTTGTTTTTGCTGCTGGGGGTCAGACCAGGGCCTCAGGCATGCACGCCCGGACCTCAGATATACACGTGAATGTTTTATGTATTCATATAGTTGAGAATAATGCATGTGTGCGTGTGTGCATGCTCATGGGCGGAGGGTTCTTACGACACAGCCCGAGTGTGGAATTCAGAGGACAACCTTCAGATGTCAGTCCCCAGCTTTCCTCCTTGTCTGAGACAGGATCTCTTCGCTGGTCCGAGTCAGGCTAGCTGGCCTGGGAACATCAGGAGTGTCTTCTCCCATTTTCTACCCAGATATGCTGGGACTAGGGATGCCTTTGATACGGGGTCCAGCTTTCACATGGATTCTGGGAAATCCAAATTCAGGGGATGGAGTTTGTGTGGCGAGTGCTTTTGTCTGATGAGCCACCTCCCCAGCCTGTTTCTTTCTTTCTTTCTTTCTTTTTTTAAAAGCAACCTTTATATAGCATAAAGTTCCATTTTGTGCCATGGTTTCTGGGCATGGGGGGCGGAGGGAAAAGGGAAGGCTGGGTCCTGTGTGGGAGGGCCTTGGTTCGTGGCCAGTTGAGGAGGTAGGCTTGATGCGCAGAGGAGCCTCTGGCTCTTGCCTGCCTTTTATCCCTTTTGCATCTGTCAGTCACCAACAGCCACTTGTGAGAACTGATCCTTTGGTGTTTTGAACCTGGGTGTGTCTGATCTTGAGGTCTGAGAGATGGTCTCCCAGCATGGAGTGGGAGAGTCAAGTAGGAGCCTCCAATTGGCCTGGGTTGTGAAGCCCCAGGAAGCCCTCCTCCCACTCACTGAGGACCCTTTCCTTCCCTCTGTCTTGCTTCACCTGCTTTCTGTTCCCTGGATCTCACTAATCCTTCTTTCACCCCCAGCCCTTACAAACCCAGCATACCTTCCCTCAGTTCCTTTTCCCATCTGATCCCAGGACTCTCTACTCAGTCCTGCTCTGGTCAAGGGAAGTGCTGCTTCCTACCCCTTCTCAGTGCTCCCACTCTGGTGCTTGCATTCTGTTCCTCTCCCCTCATTCAGCTCCTTCTCACTCTTTAGAAACAACACTGAAAACCAATGGATACAGTTGTGGCGGGGCAGGTCTGTAATCCTAGCTCTTGGGAAGTTGAAGCGGGATTATTTTTGATTGTCGTGAGTTTAAGGCTAGCCTGAGCTACATAGTGTGCGTAACCTGGACTAAAGAGTGAAACCCTATCTAAAAAGGAGGAAGAGAGAGCTTCCTGACTCTGGCAGATGGGTCTCGAAAAGGACATGGGATGGGGAAGAGACCAGGCAACCCCGTGTCTGTCTGTCATGAAACTAGAGAGCACAGCAGCTGAGAGAGCCCCAGGAGCTGGGGAGGACCTGAATGTCTGCTCTAGAAGTAGATGCAGCCAGAAGGTAGCTGGTTACCCAAAAATTTCAGAGAGTACAGGGCACGCCCCCAACACCATGCTGGGCTCTGCCCCATAGGAACCCATCACACTGGAACCCCCACTCGCTGGTATGAAGCCCCCCACCATTGGCATGCAGTCCCTGTACCTGGTTCCTACAGCTGCACCCAAGCTAGGGAGTCCCTGCTGCAGGGGAGAATGGAGGCCTGCTGGCCATGCTCTTTCTCCCTGCCAGGATAAGGAGGCAGAGGCCACCACGGGACCTCCAGAGGAGATGTGGGCCAGCCTCAGGAAGGCAGGGAGGGAGCGTGTTGAGGGGAAGCTAGCCTTTGGGAGAATCAGTGAGGGTCTTCCTGTTGAGTTAGACTCTTAACCCTCTGGGCTCCGTGAGCATGACCAGACAGTCTCTGGTCTAGAGAATCCAGGATCAGACCCCATTCCCAAGAAGAACCCATGTTGCCTTTTCCTGCTTTTCTTCTCCAGGCTCCATCCTCTACCCACCATTGTCCTTGTCCTCTTTCTACCATCCCCCTCATTATCTACCCATCATCCCTCTTCATTGTCTTCTACCCACCAACACCCCCACATCTCTCTTACTGAATCTAGCTGTTCCAAAGCTGGAGTTCACGCCACAAACACTGTCCTCAGTCCCACAGTCTCCCTCATTGACCTAGCCCACCTGCGTTCCCACTTCTGCCCAGCCCTTCTCCCCACTCTCAGTGGATGCCCATCGAAGCCAGTGTCCTCACCACAACCTCCTTGAGACTCCCCAACACCCACTACCCTCAGCCCTGCACCGGAGACCTCCACCTTGTATGAGCCTCAACCTTCCCCTGGGCTCTCATTCAGAAACAAGAGCAACTCTGCCCTTCTAGTGGGAGGAGGAGGAGACATCTCAGCAGAAGGCAACAAGAGATTTATCAACCAAGAAGGATTCAAATGCTGGGGGGGAGGTGACCACAAGAAAAGACCCCATCCAGACTTGCAGGGAGGTGATCAGGGTGAACTTCCTGGAGGAGAAAACGTAGTTCTGAGGCTTTGGAGGCTGCAGAGTGTTCTAGGCTAAAGGGCTAATTTAGAAGAAGGCATAGAAGATCAAAGAGTGTGTGTTTTAAGAAATAGTTACTGCTCAAGCTTGTGCCGAGGAAGTAGGTGAGTGGAATTAGCTCAGGGAACCTGGCACACTGGGTTGTAGATCTTACTTTTAGAAGTGATACAGTATTTCAGGAAGGGGTAGGAGGTCTCCAGATGTTTGGTTGTAGATGGATGCCTTGCGATGAGGCTGTTGGGAGTTGAGGGAAGTGAGCTGGGGAGGAGGGCCTATGAGCAGGAAGCTGTGTTTCACAGAGGGGCTGGCTGAGCCACTGGGCAAAGCTATCATGACAGCAACAGCCCCCTTCATCGCTGTCCTGAGCACTGAACCTAGGTCTCACCCATTCGAGGCAAGCCTGAGCCACACCTTCAGCCTGCAGCTAGAGACTCAATGGGTTTTCAACAGGGTTGACAGAGGCC